GATCGAAGTGTGGTTAGTCTTGGGAGAGACAGGTATAGCATGGCTCACTGATCTTTTCAATAGGATTTTGAAAACGAAGAAGATGCCAAATGAGTGGCGAACGAGCATTTTGGTGCCTATCTACAAGAATAAGGGCGACGTACAAAATTGCATGAACTATAGGGGTATTAAGCTAATGAGTCATACAATGAAGCTCTGGGAGAGAGTCATTGAGCATAGATTGAGGCAAGAGACACGGGTTTCGGACAACCAATTCGGGTTCATGCCAGGGCGCTCAACCATGGAGGCAATCTATCTCTTACGAAGATTGATGGAAAGATATAGAGATGGGAAAAAGGATTTACACATGGTCTTTATAGATTTGGAAAAAGCGTATGATAGGGTCCCAAGAGACATTCTTGGAGGATTTTAGAGAAGAAAGGAGTACGAGTAGCATATATCCAAGCTATAAAGGATATGTATGAAGGAGCAAAGACTGCCGTAAGAACTCATGAAGGACAAACCGAAAGCTTTCCCCATAACTGTAGGATTACATCAAGGCTCATCCTTAAGTCCTTACCTTTTTGCGTTGGTAATGGATGAGTTAACAGGACATATTCAAGATGATATTCCTTGGTGTATGCTTTTCGCAGACGATATAGTGTTGATAGATGAAACTCAGGAAGGGGTAAATGCGAAAGCTTAACCTTTGGAGAGAAGTGTTGGAATCTAAAGGTCTTCGCCTAAGCCGATCAAAGACAGAATATATGGAGTGCAAGTTCAGTGCAAATGGAGGCCAAAACGAGTTAGGGGTGAGGATCGGAGATCAAGAAATACCAAAGAGCGATCCGTTTTCGCTTACTTAGGATCTATCTTGCAAAAGAACGGAGAATTAGATGGAGATCTCAACCATAGAATACAAGCTGGATGGATGAAGTGGAAGAGTGCATCCGGCGTGTTGTGTGACCGCCGTATGCCACTGAAGCTCAAGGGAAAATTTTTATAGGACGGCAATAAGGCCGGCGATGCTGTATGGCACAGAATGTTGGGCGGTGAAGCATCAACACGTACACAAAATGGGTGTAGCGGAGATGAGGATGCTTCGTTGGATGTGTGGGCACACGAGAAAGGATAAGATTAGGAATGAGGATATCCGAGGTAAAGTAGGAGTAGCCGAAATTGAAGGAAAGATGAGAGAAAAAATCGGTTACGGTGGTTTGGACATGTGCAAAGAAGGCCTACTGACGCTCCGGTTAGAAGATGCGACTACGGGACAGAGGTTCAGGGCCGAAGGGGTAGAGGAAGACCTAGGAAAACTTTGGAAGAGACTCTAAGAAAAGATTTAGAGTATTTTGGATCTAACAGAGGACATGACACAGGACCGAGCACAATGGCGTTCTAAGATTCATATAGCCGACCCCACTCAGTGAAGAAGGCTTTGGTGTATTTAAACACAATACGTTGAAATGAAGCAAAACTTATTTATTGATATCTCCCGATAAGTTACAAATATTTTACATATACATGAGTCAAAATAAACAAACAAGATGGAGCCTTCAGAAAGGTTGCTTAGGAGAAGTCTCAGCAGTCGGTAGAGCCCCAGAAAGAGAAGGCACCATAGGGGGATCATTCGGAGCCTCAGTACTGGACAAAACCCTAGAAGGATGAGGCATCAGAGGTTGATCATTTGGAGCTTCATTATGCGGTACAGCCCCAGAAGACGAAGGCAATAAATGCCATTGGAACAAACCCACAAACCGCTGATGATCAAGTAAAACCTGACAATCAGATTCCTTCATCTGGTCAAGCTTCCTTTTCATGTTTGTAGCATAGTTATGTGCGAGCCGGTGCAACTGTTTATTCTCATGCTTGAGCTCTTTAATCTTCTGTTTGAGACTCATCACTTCAGCCGCCAATGATTCAACTTGGCGGGTTCGAGCAAATAGGCGTTGGGCCATATTAGACACAGAACCTGCACACTGAACACTGAGAGCCAGAGAATCCTTAACAGCCAACTCATCAGACCGTTTGGAAAGTAGTCTGTTATCTTTGGGAGTGAGAAGGTTCTTGGCCACCACCGCAGCGATCATATCATTCTTCATCACGGAATCCCTAACGGTAAGAGGACCAGTAGGGGATAAGAAGGATGGGCGCCATATGTTGTCTGGAGAAGGCGTGGTTGCCTCTTCAACAAGGTTCAAGTCAAAACGACGGTCGGAGGGGCCAGACATTTTCAAAGGTGTTGAAGAGAGAAGAGGTCGGACAAATCAAGATCTTAGAAGTGCAAGAAGGGAGCTTCTACTGGTGAAGATTCAAGTGTGCTTTGGAACTTAATGCCAGCCTTTATAAAAATCTACACTCGACAGAGCTTCAGAAATCGAAGAGGCGTCTGCCCAGAAATCGAAGAAGCGTTTGCTTTCTCAAAAGCTGGGCTCAAAAACCACGAAGGCCGATCTTAGAAATCGAAGAGGCTTGCTTTCTCAAAAGTTGGGCTGCTCAGAGACCACAAGGGCCGATCTCAGAAATCGAAGAGGCACCTGCTTTTTTCAGCCTTGTCAGCACCTGTCACATGCACACTCAGCTTTGCTGAAATTACGGGCATTCTGTTGAAGATTTCTGGTGAAGTAGAAGCACGTGAATCTTACTGTTCAATCATCCACTTTTCACACGCACCATCAGCTCATGGATACCGCAGATAACTTTGCCAAAGATCTCTGACAAAGTTTAGACACGTGAAGCTTGCAGCTCCCACCACATCGATATGACCAAAAAGGGTAAAAGACTCCCTCGAGAACACTCCCAACAAGATTGCTTGCTCCAAAATCGAAAAGGCACCGTCCTCCGAATCTCGAGAGCCAGACTCCCAACATGATTACTTTCTCAAAAATCGAAGAGACACCGTTCTCCGAATCTCGAGAGCTAGACTCCCAGCATGATTGCTCTCTCAAAAATCAAAAAGGCACCGTTCTCCGAATCTTGAGAGCCAGATCCCCGACATGATTGTTTGTTCGAAAATCGAAGAGGCACCGCTTTCTCAACTTCGAGAGCTATATCTCCTTGAATAAAGCTTGTCTGTAATCTTCACATGCAACATCAGCTTTCCATATACCACAGACTACTTTTTCAAAGTGCTCTGACACACGTGAAGCTGGCAGCTCCCACTACCATGATATGACCAAGCAGGGTAAAGGAATAGCATTACTACTTGTTGTTAGGGAAACTCCTATATATGTCGACCTCCATCCTCAACGGACACGCAGACCTGCAAAAATGCTTAACCCTTCCTCATATCTGAGAGGGCACTCCCAACGAAGCCTCTCGAAATACTCAGCTTTCTTTCCCCCCGATAATACCTCTGCAAACAAGCTACACTAGAGCAAGAATATCTCATATCATCAGGGTTAAAAGCAAGAGTATCCCATATCATGCTTTTTCCCTATTTTTTCCTTTGGCCTTGTTCTTACCTGCAAGACAAGGAGAAAGAGCAATCAGTCAGCACTTGGAATCAAGCTTCCAGTCAGGAACTGACTGCCTGGAACCCCTTACCTGATTACTTACCTAGCATTGCTCTCGAGTACTCATCTTCAACATCTTATGCTTCCAGATAAGATACCACATCTGTCTGAGGAACCGATAGGGAAAGTGAGAAGGATACAAGGAAGCATGTGGAGACAAGCGTAACAGAACACGTGCCGATACATCCATTACTTTGTCAACAGCAAAAGTATCCCGTATCAGCAGGGTCGAACGTACTCTAGATTTGATGGACTTGTTTTGACCCTCAAATTCTTCAGTCGGCCTTATACTCTAGAGGAAACCAGAAAACCCTCCAGCCCAGTTCAAGAATAAGCTTGTGGAAAGTTACTTTTTCAAAAACAAAAGTATCTCATATCATCTATTCTCATTTTCTTCTCTTTATCCTTCATGCTGCCTACAAGATAGGGAGAATGAGAACAATCAGCCGGAACTCGAAATCAAACTTCTGATTTGGGACTGATTGCTTGGAGCTCTGATTGCTTACCTTGTCTGTCACCTCTTTCAGCAAATCCCCTAGCTCGGCGACTTGGGGGACTCCTACTACATGGTTTGTATCGCGCTTGACCAAGCCTGAAACTACAAGTAAGCTTCAAGTGAAATTGATACATTACCTTGTGCATCTCCACCAGTTAAAGATACCACCCCTAGATGGAGGAAGAGTACTTCCAGAGAAGATACCACATCTATCTATGAGACAGATAAGGCAAGTGAAGACGATACCACACTTCGGTACTTAGAAGTTTCGTGATTACGAGATCATTCTCTCACAATATTTCCTAATGTCATTTGTACTAAATCATTCACTTGTACTCACTAAGGGAGAGCTTGAACCTATGTACTTATGTAAACCCTTCACAATTAATGAGAACTCCTCTACTTCGTGGACGTAGCCAATCTGGGTGAACCACGTACATATTATGTTTGCTTTCCTGTCTCCATCCATTTACATACTTATCCACACTAATGACCAGAGCAATCTAGCGAAGCTCACAAACTTAATACTTTATGTTGTACCAAAGTCCTCACTGATTTTGTGCATCAACAATCCTTAAGTCCTTACCTTTTTGCGGAGATCAGGAATACCAAAGAGCGATCGTTTTCGCTACCAAGGATCTATCTTGCAAAAGAACGGAGAATTAGATGGAGATCTCAACCATATAATACAAGCTGGATGGATGAAGTGGAAGAGTGCATCCGGCGTGTTGTGTGACCGTCGTAGGCCACTGAAGCTCAAGGGAAAATTTTATAGGACGACAATAAGGCCGGCGATGCTGTATGGCACAGAATATTGGGCGGTGAAGCATCAACACATACACAAAATGGGTTTGGACATGTGCAGAGAAGGCCTACTGACGCTCTAGTTCAAGGATGTGAATACGGGATAGAGGTTCAGGGCTGAAGGGGTAGAGGAAGACCTAGGAAAATTTTGGAAGAGATCCTAGGAAAAGACTTAGAGTACTTGGATCTAACGGAGGAAATGACACAAAACCGAGCGCAATGGCGTTCTAGGATTCATATAACCGACCCCACTTAGTGGGAAAAGGCTTTGTTTTTGTTGTTGTTGTTGTTGTTATAGAGTTATGGAAAGATATTTTAAAAGAAAATCACAAACCAATTGTCATCTTTAATATCAAGAGACTAATCAACTGGTGGTGCTCCAAAACGTAATTGTGAGGAAATCAACTTGTCAGAAATTCCCACATACCCGGGGTTACGAATTTCAATTTCGGATTACAATCCTAATGTTCGAGTTCAGGTACGTAGAGCATACTTACAAAAACGGTCATTGCCAATCTAAAATTCATAAATTTCCTCAAACAAATTTTTTGTGATGCATTAAGAAGGTTCAATAGTGCTTGATTTGGCGAATTTAAATTGACCCTCCTTCAAGGTTTTCTGGCTACGCCATTGCAAGAGGTCACCCTTGGTTGATTCCACAACCACAAGATATGCATGGGAGGCAAGCTTTGCATAGAACAGACGCTGATAAGTTACATGTGACTATACCTTCTGCGACCGTGAAGGGTCATATGAGACATAACCAGTCCATAGTCTCGACTAACTGTATAGAGTTGTCTTTTGTAAAATATAACATCAGAATATAAAAGATCAGGACCACGGAGGCAGTGCAAACGTTTTGGTAGCGGATCGGCAGATAAGACCTTTGGGACATAATATTCATACTGCCTCATGATGAGTAGAGACACGCAGGGAGGAGAGATGAATGGGCAGTTGGCTTCCGAAAGCGTGGACGACCATGTTGGTTGATTTTCTCTACGCTAGCCAACCAACCGTGGCTAGAGCCACAACACCTCTTATGAAAAGGCACTTGTAACCGAACGTTGGTGTAGGCTTTGCCTTCTGCAATGTTGTACGGTACTAGTTCTCGGTCGGTCGTGATTGGGTTGCGTCAATCATCGACGTTGGGGACCAAGAGCAAGGGGTAGTATCTTAGGGCGGCAATCATCGACGTTACAACCGTAAGTGCAGGTTCAGACGAAAAAGAGGTTAGGTTTTCGAAGAAGTATTTTGAGGTTTGGCCTCCATAGGAACATATTTAATAAGCGGGAATCCGAAATTATGAGATTTGTCCATTGTCACTACAAAAATCTGGCCATGAATGCCAGACTTAACGGAAGCGATTTTTCCAATACGTTGGGTACTTTTTTTCAAATGTTTGAAAAGGTTAAAAACTAATTTGAAATCCCACAAAAAATTGGGGTTTTAGTTATTTAATATTTTTTTTCTAATATTATGTGTTTTTTTTTTAACAAATATTATCTACGCCGGAGTGGCTCTACTAGGCCATAGTACTGAGTGTAAATATTATATGTGTTAAAACAAATTAATCAAATCAAATCCTATAAAGAAAAGGATACTGACGACCAAGTCCAAGCCTAAAACCCTGGGCACTATAAATTGGGAGGGGACGTAAGTTAGGGCTCTTTCTTCATCCACACTCTACCGGTTTCCTCCCTCTCCGTGTATCCCAAGCTCGCGGCCGTCGTCTTCTCGTCGTGCTCCGAACTTAACGCCTTCAATATAGTCTCCAGTGCGGCTAATACCTTCCACAATGGAGGAAGAGCCAAATTTGATGAAGAAAAAGAAAAAGGAAGCGAAGGTTCGTTCTTTCTTTCTCAGATTTTTTTTTTTTCAATTTTGGCTGAGATTTTTATACTTGAAATTGGTACAGTGTTGTTTGCGGAACAAGTTATTGTATTTTCTTTCTGTTTTGTTTTTTGGACAGGCAAAAGAGAAGGAATTGAAGAAGAAAAAAGCTTTGGAGAAAGCTATCAAGCTTCAGGTAATGGCGATTCTTGTGATTTTCTTATGGCTTTTTACACTCTCAACAACGTTCCTTTTTTTTTAATTTTATTATCATTCACTGCTGGAAAATAAAAAAGAAGCTATGGAAAAGAAAAAAAAAAAAAAAAAACTCTGGTTCGTGTCGTTCTTTGGCCAGAAATTAATTGTTGCTCGGTGTAATTGCAAAGGGGAAGCAATTTGGGTAGAGGTTTCAGTACAAAAATCTGTTGTTCTGAAAGCTGAGGTCGGGAGTTGTAGTCGCCTTTGGACCTAACGGAATGGAGTGTGATTACCGAGGTTCTAAAAAACGTTAGGTGCTAGTCGGCCGGCAGGCTAGAGCCTAGCGCATAGGCGGCTAGGGGGGTCTAGGTGGGGGCCTAGGCAGACTAGGCGGATTTAAGTAAATTTATTATATATTGTATAAATAAGTACCTATTTATACTTAAAAAAACACACATAATTGTATTAGGATACATAAATTGCGACATAAAATGACATATAAATTATAAAGTATTAGAACATATTGAAAACATGGGGAACAAGCATATAATAAGTGTTCATCCAAGTATTCAACAAGTTTCTTACATTTTATTGAAAAATCAAAATGCAAAATCAAAGTTATCGATTTTCTGTCTAAGTGAGAGTCGCAACCTAGGCGGATTTAGGCGGGCTAGGCGGATGCCTAAGCAAGTCTAAGCGTACTTTCTTAATTTTCAAACGCTTAGGGACTAATCGGGGCGGTGACCCAACGCCTAGCGCCTAGACGGCGCTAGGTGGGAATTTTTAGAACAATGATGACTACAAATTTGGTCCTGGTGGTTGGAACTATACATAATTGAAATTTATAAAGGACATACTAAACAAATTTGGGCACGAGGCCGGGTCTGTAGACGCAAACTGGTTTTAGATGCAATTTTTTTTTTTTACATAAACATAGAATAACAATGCAATGATGAACTGCTAAGGGTTTATATATTTATTGTAAAAATAAGATCATCCAGGAGCAACAAGCATGTGCTTCTACTTCGAAGACGAGTAAAAAGAAGAATGTAAGGCTTTGGGATGATGAAGATGAAAATGCAAAGGATCCAGGGACTCCATTTGGCGAGAAGAAAAGGATGGCTAGTCAAATGACGACAGGGTACTATCCGAAGGCTGTAGAGAAGTCGTGAGTGTACTCATATTTTCACTATTAATTCTCCCATAAATTGTACTTGTAGTTTCTTCGTATTTCTTATACTGGTTGATACAGGTGGTATGAGTGGTGGGAGAAAATGGGGTTCTTCTCAGCGGAATCTAACAGCTCCAAACCTCCATTTGTGATTGTGAGTGTCATACTGCTCCAAACTAACTTGTTCATGAGTATGCATTGATATGGATAAAGTGAAAAAAGAGTGAGAACATTAATCAGGTTTCACATAAATTGCAGGTTTTGCCGCCACCCAATGTAACTGGTACCCTTCACATAGGCCATGCGCTCACCGCTGCTATTGAGGTCATTCTTTGCATAAATTCCTGACTTGTGCTCTTCATCGGTAAGGGTGTTCATTGAAAATTGGATGTGATTTTGTCATATGCAGGACACTATCATTCGTTGGCGGAGAATGTCCGGTTACAATGCCATGTGGCTGCCTGGAATGGACCATGCCGGGATAGCAACACAGGTTTTGTTCCTTTTCTCTTAACTAGCAAATGGTTTTATTGTGCCACAAATATGAATCTGCTGTATATTTGGCCTTTTTTGGGTGTAGGGGATATGTCCTTTCTTATTAGAGCAGTTCCTTATAGCCATGAGCGACGAATTATCAACCTAATCATATCTTGGCCATATATATATGCATGTAATCTTTGTTTTCATTGATCTGGATTTATCTTCATTACGTATGTATTCGTTTGCTGGCCATAACTTCCAAGTGCGTATTATAGGTTGTTGTTGAAAAGAAGCTTATGAGTGAGAAAAAAATTACCAGACATGATATAGGTCGCGATGCATTTGTGGCTGAGGTAAGCTTGAATTGAAACTAGCTGGACATAGATCCCTTAAATAATTTTGTTCTAAAATTTTCTGAATACATTCATACCTATTCATGTTGTGGTTCGGTAACTTGGTTGTGAAAGGTGTGGAATTGGAAATTAAAGCACGGGAGCACCATCTTACAGCAGCTACGTCGTTTGGGAGCTTCTTTGGATTGGTCCCGCGAGGTAAAGGATTTGAGTTTGAAGCTTGGTTTGACTTTTGGATTGAAACAAAGTATTGGCAGTCTCAATAAACGAAGATCTCTCTCTGTTCTTGACTTAGCTTTTCTTTTTCCTACACTTTAGTGCTTCACGATGGATGAGAAAAGATCAAGTGCTGTGGCAGAGGCTTTTGTAAGGCTTCATAAGCAAGGGCTTCTCTACAGGTATGCTTGGCATAGAAGAATATTAGGGGAGCACTTCCTTGTTTATTATGTGTTTTCCAGCTCAGAGCTCTATGCTAATCTGAATCTAAACTTTCTTGATAAATACAATGTAAGGGATAAGCCGTTAGTAAAGTTTTGCTAATTTCAGAGGAGAACGTACCACTGGTGTGCTGTTTAGGTCTAACATTAATGTGACGGTGGATGCTAGTACTTATTTAGTCAGTTGGGATAAGGATTGAAACTTGACAACAGTGTACACAGATTGACTTATATAATCATCGACATCTATAAGTTTATAAATTACCTTCTTGTCTTTGAATTTTTCTTCACTTTGGCTGCTAAGCTTTCTGGATTTTGTTGGTATGTTTTGTTTGCAGGGATAATCGCATAGTCAATTGGGATTGTGGGTTGCTTACAGCAATATCTGACATTGAGGTCAGCCTTCTTCTTTTACCTGCATATTTTTCCTTATTTTTGCAGCATATATTTATGGAAATTTTTTGGGTCTGTATAGGTGGATTATATAGATATTCGAGAAAGGACATTACTGAGGGTTCCTGGATATGAGAACCCTGTTGAATTTGGCGTGTTAACTTCATTTGCTTACCCAATGGAGGAAGAACTTGGTGAGATTGTGGTGGCCACCACTAGAGTGGAAACTATCCTTGGTGATACTGCTATCGCTGTACATCCTAATGATGAGAGGTATAGACACCTTCATGGAAAACATGCCATCCATCCTTTCAATGGAAGAAGAATTCCTATAATATGTGATGAAATTCTCGTGGATCCAGCGTTCGGTACTGGTGCTGTGAAGGTAAGGTTTAACATAGAAGTTCCAAGTGATTGCATTAAATTTCTTTTTCTGGTTTATGTTTCAGGGATGTAAAGATCTTTACGCTCTCTCTCTTTGCCTCCTGCAGATTACCCCAGCCCATGATCCTAATGACTTTAATGTCGGGAAGCGCCATAACCTTGAGTTCATTAACATCTTTACTGATGAAGGAAAAATAAATCAGGAGGGTGGAGAATTTGCAGGAATGCCACGTTTCCAAGCCCGAGAGGCAGTGACTGAAGCACTAAAGAAGAAGGTATATATTTTACATGACTACATTCCTTTGAAACTTGTATTGATTACGAACATACTGCATCATAGTATCTACATGACTGATACATGCTTAATGAAGAGATAAGTGTATTGGTTATTGGTGGCGACCTCCTAAGCTAGATTGTTGCTGCCAGAAGTAGCATCTGTGATACTGAATGAAACTCTCCTTTTTTTGTTTTGCACTATTTTCCAATTGATACTCTTTCAAGCAATCAGTTCGAAATTGAATTTTTTTGCATTTCTGTCATCCTAGACACTTCACAGAAATTAACTTAATTTACTTGTAATTGCATCACTTATGAACATCACCAGTTTGTTGTTGCACACTCGTCCCACTTGATGGAGGGTACTGTCTATTTGCGATTCTGCGTATTTTCTCTATGGTGTTATGGATGTTTTGGTGACTGTTTTTTCATGGCATTTAGGGCCTCTTTAAAGAAGCAACGAACAATGAGATGCGCCTTGGTATTTGCTCTAGAAGCAAGGATGTTGTGGAACCCAAGATTAAACCTCAATGGTATGTCAAATGCAGTGGTATGGGAAAGCAAGCCCTCGATGCTGCCGTAGATAGTGAAAATAGGAAGCTTGAGATCATCCCAAGACAATATACTGCTGAATGGGAGAGGTAATCTTTTGAAAATACTTCAAAATGTTTCTGGTATCAGTATTGCATAATGAATTTTAAAATACTTGCGACTGGTTTTTGCTTCTTGCTGGTCCTTTGTTGTCAGTGTTCTAAATATCACACTTATTTCACCTAAATATTGGAAAAATCAGCCTGGAGAGCGAAGATTTTCACCCTGATTCAGATAAAAATCAGAGTTTAGGCATAATAACACCGATATTGCCAAAATCCTTTCCAAAAATATAGAGTACCCGGATCAAAATATCTTCTGGAATTCCTTGTAATTGAGTAAGCAGAGTAAACTCCCTAACACCCAAACCTAATTGCTACAAGTTAATGAACAAAGGGTCCAAAATGTCAGCGGGAGATAGGTGCATACCTCGCAAGGAAGAAGAAGGCTAGACCCTTTAGGCAAACTGTACCATGACATTGTTCACGTTTAGTGAAAAAAACGATGGATGTCAGAACAAATAAACCTCAGCATACATTACTGATAACACTTAAAGGATTAGTTTATATTCAACTTGTCATCAGGTGTATTATATTAGATATAAAATTTATATATCTACCACCTATATTGTCGTCGTGTTTAACATTTCCTAAAGTTTCATTTCAATTTTCCAGTGTTTATAAACTTTCCATTATTTCTGTTGACGTTTTATTAATATCGAAACACCCATCAAATTGGCTACCAATATTTCTGTCAGCACTGACGACCATAGTGGTTGTTTTAGCTGTTATTTTGATATTTTCCAAGCCTTTTTATAGACCCCTTTGTTTGAGAGTTCCTTGTTAATGTGGATAGCTGGTTCTCTTAATCTCTATGTGTTCCTTCTGTTTCTGTATATTATCAGTTTACTTTCCTATGAAAGGAAAAGAAATAAAAGTTTTTACTTAGTTTTGCTCTAACTATCACAGATGGCTTGAAAACATTCGTGACTGGTGCATCTCGAGGCAACTGTGGTGGGGTCACCGTGTTCCCGCATGGTATGTTGTTTATGAGAGTGATAAGGCGGAGGATTTTGGAGTACTTGATGATCGATGGGTGGTTGCAAGGAATGAGGAAGAGGCTCGAGCACAGGCTAGTGGTAGATATGAGGGGAACTTTCAATTGATTCAGGATCCTGATGTCCTTGACACTTGGTTTTCTTCTGCTCTCTTCCCATTGTCTGTGTTGGGCTGGCCAGAGGACACAGAAGACCTAAAGGCATTTTATCCGACTTCACTTCTTGAAACTGGTCACGATATCCTCTTTTTCTGGGTTGCTCGTATGGTAATGCTTGGAATGACATTGGGCGGCGATGTACCTTTTACAAAGGTGGGCAGAATTTTTTTCATTCTATTTTGTGTTGCATATTGCCAAAGTTATAAGTTACTAGTTACCTGGCTTTAGAATGTTATTGCGTATACTACTCAAGGAGACAATATTTTTGTTCTTGGTAAAGCTTGAACGAAAAGAAGTTTTGAGGATACTTAGCACGCTGTTGTGACGAGATTCCAAATTTTACACATCTATATTTCTCATAGCTTGTCTGCATGCCCCAGTAGGTGTTTTAGCTGTGTGACTTTTAGGCTTTTCTTGTATGCCACAAGCTACAAACCCCAAACTGGTCTTTTTTTTTTTGGTGTTTAGTGCCTTGTTTATTGCGTTTATGGAGAGATTGTGATACAGAGGAAAACAAGCAAATAATTCTGCTATTGAAATCTTTCTGTGATAGCTTTTTCATTATGTTTTAGTTACTGAAGTGACAAGTGTACTGTTTCTCGGTCTGCAGGTATATTTGCACCCTATGATTCGTGATGCACATGGGCGTAAAATGTCAAAATCCTTGGGGAATGTCATTGATCCACTTGATGTGATCAATGGTGTTGAACTTGAAGGTCTACAGAAGAAGCTTTTAGAGGGAAATTTGGATGCCAAGGAAGTAGCTGTCTCGGAAGAAGGGCTAAAGAAAGACTTTCCTAAGGGGATTATGGAATGTGGCGCAGATGCTCTCCGCTTTGCTCTAGTGTCTTACACTGCTCAGGTTTAAACTTCTGTCTTGCTTACTACTTTCGTCAGGTACTTCTTGTCTCGCATGGACGGTGGATCTAATCATCTATTTCGTTTTCTTGTCTTGTCAGCATGATAAGATAAATCTGGATATCAAAAGGGTGGAGGGCTACAAAAACTGGTGTAATAAATTGTGGAATGTAGTAAGGTTTTCTCTGAGCATACTTGGGAATGACTATGTTCCGCCCTCAACTGTAAATCCAGATGTGTTCCCATTTAGTTGCCAATGGATACTCTCGGTACTGAACAAAGCCATTTCCAAAACTGTTTTGTCACTGGAATCGTACGAATTATCAGATGCAGCCACTGCAGTGCATGCTTGGTGGCAGTACCAGTTGTGTGATGTTTTCGTTGAAGCTATCAAGCCCTACTTTTCTGGTAACGATCCAAAGTTTGCATCTGAAAGGGGTTGTGCACAAGACACTCTATGGTTATGTCTTGACAATGGGCTACGGTTGCTTCATCCGTTTATGCCATTTGTCACAGAAGAACTGTGGCAGCGTCTTCCATCTTCAGGGGATCACAAGAGAGAAACGTCAATTATGATATGCGAATATCCATCCATCATAGAGGTTAGTTTAGTCATAATAATTGACATTATTTTGTCGAGTTTTTCTCGCGTCCTTTTTGTTTTAAATTTAACTATGTTGGTGATCCTGACTAGCCCAAAATAGAGGCAAATGGTTGCAAAACGTTCACTTGTTTCATTGCTTGCTTCAACTATAATACTACACATAGGAATGGTGTTTTTCTTTTACTGTTGATCGGAAATTAGTATGCGTAGTAACTACCTTTGTATCGTGTTATTCGTCCAGTGCTGGACAAACGAAAAGGTGGAATCTGAGATGAACCTTACAGAGTCTATTGTGCAATCTCTCCGTTCACTCGCAAAAGAAAGTCATGAAAGGTACGTCTTGTTGGTGCAGTGCGTGACATCTTTCCTGTTTCTTAATAACTCTGAACTTTTGATATGTCACGTCGTGAGCTGGATATAACTAGTTACTCATTCTCTTTCCGTGTTTCTTTCAGGCGATCAGCTATTGTGATTTGTAGAACAATTTCGGATTGGAAGATAATCTGCAGCCATCAACGGGAGATTGAAACTCTTGCCCATTTGTCATCTTTGACGGTAAGTATTTCTTTGGAGACAATCGAGTGTGCATATTGATCATATTTATTGCGGAGGCTTGTCTGCAAAACAAGTGTTTGATGATACTTTAGTAGTAAACGCGGTTTTCCATTCGTTGATTTAGGTATTAGATATGATAAACATTTTGATCCCTACAGGTAATGAATGAGGAAGATGGCTTTCCCACCCCTACCGAATCAGATGGATACGTGATGTCTACTGTAAATAAAAACATTTTGGTTTTTCTGAACGTTCCAAGGGTAAAGGCAGACCCTGAAACGATCCGCGAGAAGATGGAAAGACTCACACTGTAAGCACATTATTCATAAATCTTACTTGTGTTTCAAGTTTGCTTCGTTTTTGATCGTATAAAGCCCGTAAAGTATACATACAAGTGATCAATTTAATCTTGTTATACTTATTACAGGGAACGGGAAAAGCTGTGGTTGATGATAAATTCTCCAGGCTACAAGGAAAAGACTAATGAGAAGATTCAACAAGCTAATACTGACAAGCTTCAGTCCTTGGACGGGGAGATCATGTCTTTGGAAAGGGATGGAAATAATCTCCTTGGAGACTAGACCAATGTGTGTTCCCGACCGCGTTCTGAGGCGGAGTCCTGATTAATATTATCCGCCCGCTCTCATATCTTCTACCTTCAACTCAGATAAAAATGTTTCATTTCTTTCTTTAACATGCATTCATTCTAGTGAGTTATTCAATTCTAGATCCGAAACAAGCCCTTAGTACTCCATGCTCGTATCAAATTATGAGATGTGTTTATCTTTTGAAGCTCATTTCAAGGTTATATTTCAAATTAAACTAGCCATTGGTAATCGCTGGAAAGAAAGGTCGTCGGGCTTGAAAGGTCGTCAGAGTCGGGCTCGAAAGGTTGTCAGAGTCGGGCTCGTAAGGTCGTCAGGCTGGCTTACGAGCCGATCGAGCTAAGTTCCGGTGTTGCTTCCTTGAATGGGGGCTTCAATTGGGATAATACTTTTCTGATAATCATACCAGAAGTAGTAGAGCAATAAAAGCTAGCAAAGGCTTGAGAGAAGTTTTTGGTATGAGTTGAGTGCGTTTGGAGTTAGGGAACTCTTCCAGTTTAACTGAAACACGTCATTTCCCGATACACATTTTTAAGCTTCTCACACACTCTTATTCTTTATGGCTATAGGATCGAATAAATCAAGCAGAATCACCGATCATGTACATTTTTCAAGCTCATTTCAAGGTTATATTCCAAATTCAATAGAAATTTGCAGAACAAAAATTTTCCATTTGACACGAAAACCAGTCGGTGACTGATACTAGAGCTGATTAAATTCACTGTCAGAAACCAAGTAACTTGCACTATACAGCCATGAATCAATAAGAATATCAGAAATTTGATGGCCGCTCCCGCAAAGATCTCAATGAACACAGAAATAACACAAGGAGCTCTCAGTGCTTATATCTAATTCAAGCTTTGTTCCACCTATTGCATCACAGGTTATTAACTGTACATGTTTATACTATTTGTAAAGAATTGAATAGTAATATCTATCCATACAAGGTGCGAGTTTTGGAAGAAAATGCAGCAGCAACATCACCTGGTGTACCTCTTTGTTTCGACTCAAAAAAGTCAGAGTAGTTGAACTGCTGCAATGGATGGGATTTTCTCCCTCAATTTCTGTGTTACCGCCACCCTAACAGTCATTACCCCAGCAGCTGGACCTGTGATGCGGACCTTCACTATAGGCTCCTCGATTGTCACAAGTTCAAGAGATCCACCTGCTGCCCCTACTAAGTAGGGTCTAATTTCTTCAAGTACCTGGAGCAAATTGTATATACAAATACATAAGAGGACATCCCTGAAATCAAGCATCCAATTTCCTTATTTTTTCGGCTATATTTGGAACTCATCTAAACATGAAATTATTATCTTTCGTTCCATCACAATTCATCTGACATGCAGTCCGCACTTTATGCAGTAAAGACATTTGATTTCTTCCTAGTATCAACATATCAGTCAACCGAAAGGAAAGAGTTATATTTAACCAAAAAAATAACAAGAATGAACATACATACCGAAAATAAATACACAATTCTAGAACATTAGAAGGCTGATCAGGGTTTTAAACTTCTCACGGTCATTGTAGAGCATGACAGTAAGTCACAGGAGTAAGTATCCTAGGTTTTAGTCAAACACTCAAGGCTGACTTAAAGTGGTTTAACAATGACATCTCCACTCAAAATTTAAGTTAGTACGGAATATTGACCCGAACACAATCCCTCAAGACTTCAATGTGGGTAAAGAAGTATGAATTATAATTATTATAATCACAATTTTCTTATTTTAATTTCTTGAGCTTATTTGAGCTAGTGCATGACACACAGTGGATATCATCACTATCCTAATAACCAGGCCAAGAAACACGGTAAATTACTACTAATAGCCCACTGCAAAAGCACTTGACCACCAATGACGAGGAAGAAAAATAATGTAGGCAGAGGACATTGGTTATACTCTAGGTATGCTAAACAGCAGTATAATAATTCAACTAAGCAAACATTGCAAGGTTTATTGGATAGTGATAAACGGAAACGGTTTTTAGAATCCCCAGAAATTACGAGCCAAGTGCAACAAACACCACTAAACAATTTTCTTATATATCATATTGGTTCAATTTTCTATATAAAATTCAAATAAACTCATAATACTTTTTCTTAAACCAAAATCCTTAAGCAGCAGCAGTGTAAAATCCCATTCAGATTTATGCGTGAAGCAGGAACTCATGAAAAAGTATATCCAATTTTATTATTAAAGGGGTCTTACGACTTCAAAAGAAATATTACCTTCTCTATATTTTCTTCATTCAGTTCAAGTCCTGTTTCCTTGTCAGCTATTGCTTCCACTGCAACTATTTCAGGGATCTTTTCCATTAAACGACGCTCAATACCCATTTTCATTGTCATAACAGAGCTTGGACAGGAGCCACATGCTCCCTCAAGCTTCAAACGCACCACATTTCCATCAATCTCATGTAACGATACATTTCCTCCGTCGGAAATGAGATATGGTCGGATTTCATCCAATACACTTTCAACATTCTCTGCAGTCAGTGGCAATTCAACCGCTGAATCTGGAGTAGCAACCGCCTTAACAACTGTACAACAATAAAATATAGATAACCATAAGCATCCAACTAGGTAAAACTAAAACGAGACGGAGTGGCGACCTGCTACATAGATGATCTTAGCATCTTTACAGAAAAAAGAATATCAATCACACACAAACACAAATATTTTGATTTGTGTTTCTATACACCTTTAAAGTGAAAAGAATATTATAAACTCTACTGGCCTTTCTTAATGCACACATACTTCTGGGATGTAACGAAGTCTTAAACTGGCTGCTAATAAGGCCCGGAACTATCTGTGTCAAATTATGAAACAGTGATTACGGCAAAGTTGGAGTGCATGTCCTTATGGAACCTACATATGGGCTTTGATTATTTATTTTATCCAGAAGAATAAGTTGTCAACGTTGCAAATTAAAGAGCAACCGTAGCCATCCCATAATGTCTTCTTATTCGTAAGGCTCCACAAGGGTTCCATTTCCTAAAATGTCCAACAAATACCTCCATCTTCAGATTCTCGTACTGACTAATAATCAGATTTCTCACTTGCATTACCTTCAAACTAACGCTCAATTTGGGAATATTCATGCGACATTACTGGATTGACTCACACTAGCATCCACAGAAGCAGAGCAAGAAAAGCATGGCAACCATTAACAACAAAAGTTCGTGTTGCAACAAGGTACACAGAATTACATCATTATATATTTTCGACATCAACAAGTGCGTAGCATATCAATGTTCTAAAGTTGAGTCAGTCGAGTTGTGTAGTTAATTGGGTTCAATCAAACATTACATAATTGAGTTCAATCAAACATTACAGAAATCTTGAATTCGATAACAGCCGAGAAAAGTTGAAAATAAAATAACTAATACTACTATCTGAAATTGTATCCTATACGAAAATAAACTAATTATATCAGATTGAAAAATACAGCCGATGCTTACAAATCAAACAAACATTCAATTGATTGATTATATATATATATATATATATATATATATAAAGCATAAAAATCATTGATTTCGAAATAAAAAGAAACTGACCTAGGCTGCGTGAAGGTGAAGGTAACCTAACCCGTGAGCTAGACCGCACCAGATTGCGCCCTCTACTGAAAGATACATAGGAGCCTGAGCCTCCAAATAATAAACTACAACTCTGCAGAAAAAAGGGTAAAAATTCAAAATTAAAAGGGAAAAATATAAGAAGAAGCAATTGATTTGCTTATGAAAGTTAAAGGGAAATCGAAGAAAACCGTGGAAAGTGGTTGTTGGAGTCTGCAGTACGGCGGAGAATTGAGAAGCATCGCTCTCATCTCGAATGAAAAGTATGGCGGAGATTTCTTCTCTGTTCTTTTCGTTTCCTTTCTTCTTGGATTTTCTCGGGAACCAAACAGGTACGTCGCAGAAGAAGAAGCTCGAAGTACCGCCGTTGATTTTCCTTTCTTGTACTTTCCTTTTGTTTCAGGGGTAAAATGGGAAACTACTTTTAGGAGGAAGCACCTCCTGTGCTTCTTAGAAAATGCTTATTTAGTGCTTCTACTTCTAATTAAAAGTACTTTTAAAATATTGTCAAACGATCATTTTTTTAAACTAAAGCGCTTTTACTCATTAGGAAGCGCTTTTGAATCTTTTAAAAGTACAACCAAACGAGCCATAAATCAACGGTGATAAGCTATATCAAGTTATCCAAATCTTAACAAAACAAAAAAGTGATCCAAATCTCAAAATTTTGTTACATGATTTTAAATTTCACAAAATCTCATTAGGTAAAAAAAAACATTACTATTGTTTTCTAACCGAAATGTCAATTCCTATATAACATGACATGGAAAGGCAATAGAGGAAGTTCTTGTCAAATTTGACAGCAGCTTCAAATCTATTTTTAGTAATTAATAAAGGCTTTTCATAATTTTTATATTTATCTTTTGTTTTAAAATACTAATTACAACTATAAAAAGTAAATAATGTAATAATAATAATTTAAATTTGACATATCGGTTGGAAAACAAAAATTTTAAAAAGATCAATGTGCTACATGAGCCTTCAAATTTAAATTTTATGTTTAAAATTTGATACTTCATTTGGAGATGGTCTTAGAGCATCTCAAAAGAAGATGTCAAATATAATATGTCAAAATTTTATTTAATGTCTGATGTGGCAAATTGAATACAAGTGCTAAATTCTCTTCCTTTCCAATGGATGTGTCAAATATTTATTTTATTATTTTATTGAGCCTAAAGTTACATTAACTATTAAAAAATAATCAAAATTAATTTTAGTTTTTATTTTTTTAGTTGTTAATGAGACCCATGTATTAAAAAATTCAATTAAATATATTTGACTCCTTCTTTGTTTGCTGTAAAAAAAGACAGCTAAAAAGCAAGAAGTCAAATGACTCACATGTCACATCATATATGACATATCCATTGAAGAACACCTAAATGTCTTTTAATCCTATTTGACATATTTGACATCTCCTTTGGAGATGGTCTTAGGAGTCAGTCAAATTTGTTTTTAGTTAATTTTAAGGAAAACTAACGAAAAGTCCAAATTTTGTTTTTGTTTAAACGAAAAGTTTTTTTAAAAGGTATAGTGAATAGTGCCAGTTGAAGGTAAAAATGTGGTTTTTCGTTAAAAATGAACAGTACCAAGAGTGTTTTGTTAAAACTCCCTTAATTTTAATGGTGGATCCCTTATAAAGTTTGTTTCAATATTGTTTTAATAATTACTACCATTTAAAGCTATATTGTAATAAGAAAATAACATTTGACAATTCAATTGAAGAAGTATAAAGTTTGGCATAAGGCTTCAGATTGCCACATCAGCCATCAATAATAATTTGACGGCTATAATCTAACTCTTTTGGAGATGGTCCAACAAATCAAGTTAAAATTGAATTTTTTTTTTTTTTTTTTTTTTGTAGAAAAGTAGTTAAACCCTTAATTTGCTGTAAGAAAATGTAGTCAAACCCTAAACCCTTAATTTGCTGTAAGAAAAAAAGTAAGATCGAGAACATAAATACAGGGCTGGCCTTGCTTAAATGTTTGATGATTTACATAGTGTGTGAGTCGGAATGTCTAGCGGTTCCTTACCTAATGTGTATATATATGTGTTCTTTGCTGGGAATTAGTTGGCCAAGTATTCGTGTAATTGTTCATGTTCTTTACATCTTGTGTTGCAAGAAAAACACAACGTTATTCGCATGGGCTGGGATCGATGCAAGAAAATTTATTGCGAGCCTTGACATGATGATGCTCTTATTTTTATTCTCATTATATTTGGTATTCGTCCACTAGTTCTTCAACAAGTAATCTTGTAATCATGTCAAGAAACCGAGCATGATCTCCGCTTGCCATCAATGAGGAAGGAGGGGATACCTACAAGAAAACACTCATGCTCAAATCAGTGTTTGTTTAAGATGATTGCAGTATATTATAAAGTGATCTCATATTTACTTTACTTTTTTTGTCATCTTATGCTGATGTGATTATTGACCTTTTATAGGCATAAAATGATTGGGCCAAGTCCGACTTAATTTCTTCTATTTGTCCATGTTCCACATTCTATAAAAAGTGTTTGGAAATTTTATTTAAAATCATGTAACCTATTTTTACACTCAACTTACTCTTTGCAATCATTTGATTTTTAACTAAACTATTAATATTTCTTTAAACTCAAATTTATTACCTATTATACCCCCATAAACTCAATTCAATATGTAGATTTTTCTTTACACCCATTTGATTTTTAACTTTATCTTTACGCCGTCTGGAAATGAAAACTGAAAATTGGGGTGTGAATTCAGCCATGACTGACAACAAGACTAACACTTCTATACATGTTGACAAAAGCCATGTATCACCATCTCTTCCTTTGCATCATCGATCAACGGGTGCATTGTTCTGGTTTTGTTTTCTCTTCAAAAGTCTGAAAAGGGGAACTAGCTAGAAAAAGGGATTGTGGGACAAGAAGTTGGATTTGAACTGAAAGTTCCAACCCCTTTTTAACGTTTCGTGTTTGTTTTCCATCTTGTTTATGGCTACAACTTCCAAACAATTACATTTCTTGTCTGTTCAACCGTACCCCTCCAAACTCCAAAGCATAATTCAGATCACTGATCCCCGATCACCGCCATTAACATATATCAAATGGAACTATATATATATACAGGCCTTTTAAGGGAAGGATCCCCATTTTTCAAAAAAAATGGGGACACCCTCTTAACCATTAGATTTGGTTTTAATGAAATTCTGTGATTGAGATTAAATCACAAGTCACAGAATCTCAACCACATGATTTCATTAAAGTCAAATCTAACAGTCATGAGGATACCCCCATTTTTTTTTGAAAAATGGGGATCCCTTCCCTTAAATGCTTCCTATACACACACTCATGTGTGATCAGTTGGTTGCATGTAATCGAAGAGACATTAATCATGTTTATTGATATATTTCCCCAATCTTGTAAATTATTAGTTGTTTTTGTTAAGAGAAAGTGCTGCCATCTACATTTTTTTTGTTAATATGTCATCTACACAATAAATGTTTGGGTTTATTGATAAATATGAGTTTTATTATTAATTTCATTTTGTGCTTAATAGTAATTATGCAATAGGGTAAAATAGACAATTAACATTTAAAATTTAAGTTAGGTGTAGAAAAATGTTAAATGAGTTTAAATAAAATTTCCCAAAAGTGTTTGATCTAGTCCCGCTCCCCCAAAATTAGAATTCATCGAAAGTGACTCATTACTTGAGCCTTAACTTTTTCACTCACAGTTTCCCTTGAGATTCCTGCCACTGAAATTTCTTGAACAGCTTGGGTACAATTGTGAAAACGCAGATGGATAACTTGGGTAAAGAGACTAACAAACAGAGAGAGAGAGAGAGAGAGATTTAAATGCGACTTCATTTTCTTTTCTAAATTTGACAAATACTGCTTATTAGATCATATATAAATTTGAAAGCAATATTAAACAAACTTTTGCAATAATAATATAACAAAGTACATGATATCATTTATATTCATGTTTCTTCCCCTTTTGGATTGAAAGAAATATATCGAAGTAATTAAACATGATTTAAATCAAGATTCAATAGTACAATTGCGTAGACGAATAAAAAGGGTTGCAAAGAGAACTGGAATATTTAGACCCTTTTTTCCACGACAATAAATCTTGCACAAGAGGGACAATAGGCTTTTTCTTCATTGTTTTCTTCTCTCTGTTCCTTCCGACATAGTCGTAGTAGCCGGCTCCGACATGGTGGTAGCCGGCTCCTCCTTGTTTCTCAGTAGTACCAATGGTCAATACTTGAGCCAAAGACGTAGAGTTCTCCATCCTTATCATCCACTCCCCCTTATTCCGCTCTTCAACATTATCTCCCATAGTAGTAATATTTGGTGATGATGATGTAGTAGTTGTTGACACATGCAGCACGTTACTCGCCTTTGCTGCCGCATCCGCCTCCGCTCGAGCCAACTTGGACATGTTCTTGTGGAGCTCCGCGTTCAACGACGCCAGTGCCACCTCCGTTTCTGACTCCCTCTCCTTCAGCAACTTCAGCTCCACCTTTGTTTCCTCGAGCTCCGCCTCGAGCTTCTTAAGAGTGTCCATAACTGCTACTTTCTCCTCGCGATCACCATAACTACTAACTCTTACTTCTTCGCTTTCTTTATAGTTCGGCGGCGAAAACTTCCATGATGGAGTGGTAGTAGGGCTACTTTGGACAATATTATTGGTGTATAGGGGTTTAGGGGATGAAAACATGTCTCCGAGAAGAAGGCGCTCGTCAAAGATCGCTACGGCTTCTTTGACGGAGCGGAAGGTCGGGCAGTGTCGACATTGGCGTTGTAATCGTTAACATGTGGTAGGGTTAGGGCAGCTGCTCCACCTGCTGGGTTTTCTTCAGGAAGCTGTAGGGAGTGCTGGGTTTCCGATTCCATGGATATGTGTGTGCTAGATGGAAGGAAATGGTGTGCATGAATTAAGGTCATGGAGATATATATTTCATGATGATCGGTAGGGTTTGGTTTGGCATGGGATTTCTTTGCTTGCACTTCAAAATTTAGAGAGAGAGAGAGAGAGAGAGAGAGAGAGAGAGAGAGAGAGAGAGATTGTTTCAAGGTTAAGACAAAACGTCGGGCAGGATAGGGATCATGGATTAAGGTGGACGAGGACATCATAACAACTCCACGGCCCGCCTATGGATACTGCCCTCACCCACCCGACCCGCTCATTCCTTTTTTATTATGTGTGTGTGAAGGAAAATACAAACTTTAGAATGGCAAATGCTAGGGAGAAATGTTTTTTAGTTTTGGCCATAATTTGTACACAATATGATGTGGTTTAAAAATATAGTTTTCTAGCATCATCCTATAAAATTGACAATTTTTTTAAGGATCTGTTATTGGCTTCATCACGACAATTCATTCTTCCGGAGGTTGGGAAGACTCGCAAAGGTAGCCTCCTCCTGACCAACATCATGTGATTCATCAACGCCATGAATCAAACCCAATACGTGTTGTGTGAAATCCGAGCCTAAAATTTGTCCCCAATCATTGATTGTTAAACAGGCGCCAAAATATATGAATCCTGAAATTGTCTTCATTTTCGGCTGTTGCACGGTGGTGCGCATAAATGCTTTTATAACTAAGTTGTGTGCACACTAGGATTAATACGATTAATTGAAAAACAACGTAGGTAAATGGGTAAAGTAAGAGCTGAAATTACGATGCAATGAAATAAATTAACAAGACGGTGTGGGTTTGAACCCTATAGATGATTAATCTAACATCTAATCTAACAAAATCTATCGTTACAAAAAAAAATTAATTAATTAACAAGGTGAAAGTGATTTAATTTTTCCATGCACACTACTCCTGAAGCAAAAGGGCAGGATTGCAATGAAAATTGAAAATAGCAACAAAATATTTTCAAATAGGGTACTTCCAGTGGCGGATCCAGGATTTCAAGATCGGGGACTCTCAAGATAAAAGTTCAAAAAAAATATTAGACTAGTTTAGTTTCATATCACTATTTTTTATTGAATTTGGTTCATTGAATAACCAAAATTAATCAACCACATCAAGGGGTCCAATGGTAAGGGCGCGGATTTCGGCTCTCAAAATACAAAAAAAAAAAAGGGAGGTCATGACTCTACAAAGATGAAATTTGTTAATGTAACATATATATTACAATTAGGAGTTGAGACTAGAGTCTATGATTAAAAAACTTAAATGAATTTGGGAGAAATAAAATAGGCAGCTAGAGGTGGTGGAACAGCAAATGGTGCTGGGGGATGGGGTAACTCAAGTTTAAAGTTGAGAGGTTGGGACGATTTGGGATTGGGAGTTCTTAAATATAATTTGGGGATATTGGAAAGGATCGGGGTTCTCAGGCTCTGTATAAAAACCAGAGATATTTTAGTTTTTAAATATTTTATAATTACTTGGCTAAAAAACGTTGTCATTTTGGCTAGGTCCTTTAAAACAAAAATTAGAAACCTCTTTTATCCGTTATAAGCATTGTTGCATGCACATCCATGCAGACAATAAGACTCTCAACTCTGCACCTGCCCAAATTGTTGGAGGGTCCCAAAGGTCGATCACAAGTGTTTCTTAGGACTTCCGGAGGGTCCTTGGACCTCCTGGGTCCCTATATGGATCCGCCCATGGGTACTTCAAATAGACACTAAATTGATCGTGAATTTGTATTAACATATGTAACTTCATGAAACACTGAATGAACTGTCATTAATCCAACCTTCGTATTATTTTCTAGTCTTAAATATCAAAATAGTCCCTGTGTTTAGTGTATTGGCTAATTTAGCTCTCGTGTTGTCAATTTGGCCAATTTAGTCAATATGTTTATCTCTGTTAGCTAATCAAGTACATTTAATCCAATTCCTGCTAAATAAGTCAAACTATTACAAAGCTATTTATAAAATTACCTATTCAATTTAAAATATTCAATACTGAAATTAAAATAAAAATCTGTACATAATATTAGGGTGAGACCCTTCTATCCTCCCCAACCGAAACATGAATAAATGAGAAATGATGGAGGACAAAGCCGTCAAAGGAAAAGCAAGTAGTGTTGACTACTCTCAAGGGAATAAGTTCTTGGCGGCTGATCAGACTAAATTACATAAGAATATTACGCGGTGAATAACTAGCAATTGACGATAAAAAGAGAAAGCTTGTTAAAAAAGACTAGACTCAAATTACATAATGAATCCAAATAAGTCAAATCATCAGCAACAAGATTATTTTTAAGGTAAATATGTCAAATTTCACAAAGATCAACTTTGATTCATAAGAGCACAACAATTCCAATGCCAAACTTTCCAACTGTTATCTACTTTAGCATCTAAAATCAATTGTATTGCAAGTGCATAATCCGATTTCACCATAATCTTCTTAATTCCAATCAATTTTGTTCAATGTTCATTTCTTTCTATTACTATTATTTTTTATTTCTAATTATATTTATTTCGTATCTATTTTATTAATAGTTCTAAAAAATTTGACAAAAACAAACACGAAAACTAAATACATAGACTATATTGATCAAATTAAAATACATGAACTAAATTGGCCAAAAACTAGAACACTGAGACCATTTTAGCAGTTAAAGTTCTTTTTTAGGAAGTTTTAACGAAACACTTCTTGTACTGTTCACTTTTAACGAAAATGATATTTTTACTCTAAAAAGTTATTCATAGTATTATTCACTTACAACACATTTTTATCATTTTGATTAAAACTCAAAGTTTTTAAACCCTTTCATTGGCTTTTCTTATTTTTTATTTGGATGATTTTTGTTTTTGGAAATGGATTTGGATCCTCTCCAAGGCAATTGGTCGAGATCCTCCTGACCTGTGTCTGTGGGCTGTTGAATTTTTATCCAACGACTACAAACACGAGATCTTCTAAAAGTTATAATAATTGTAGCTGTTGGATAAAAATTCAACGATCCACAGACACCAGTCAGCAGGATCCGACCAATTGGCTCGAAGAGGTCCAAATCCTTTGGAAATGACATTAGATGCAAAGTAGGGCCCAACGTACTAAGCAACGTGTACATAAACATGTATGACGTGTAAAAGGGTAATTTAGGCATTTCGTTGTGTCACAGCTCGTGATTGGCTCGTGCTACAGCCACACTGTGGCGGTACGTATGCAATTTTCTCCTCGCACTTCGACCTTGTTCGGTTTCTGCGACAGTCTGAAAACAAAAGAAACGAAAAATGGCTCCGAAGAAAAAGCAGACTACGACGAAGCAAAGCAGCAGCAGCAAGGCTAAAACAGCGTCGTCGGCACCGAGGCTCCAGATTTCGGCCGATAACGAGAACCGGGTCCGCCGGCTCCTGCTCAACTCGGGGAGGTCCACCGCCCCGGCGGCTCCGGTCGACGAGTCTCTTTCCAAGGCTCAGAAGACGAAGAAGCTCAAAGCCGTGTACGAGAAGCTTTCCTGCGAAGGCTTCACGAACGATCAAATCGAACTCGCTCTTTCTGCTCTCAAGGTAACATTGATGATCAATCCTAACCCCTGTTTGAATGCTGAGAAAATGAATGAGAAAATGTTTGGCAATAAACAGTTGCAGCAATTCTAGTCAAATGCTATTGATTTTAGGGTTTTACGGAATATTAGCATATTTATTATAACTGATTGGGAATTCGAATTCGGAACTCAGTAGCGTGTGTGCATTGTATTGGATGTAGGAGGGTGCTACATTTGAGAATGCAGTGGACTGGTTGTGCTTAAATTTGACTAGTAATGAGCTGCCGCTGAAGTTTTCTACCGGAACTTCTTTGCACACCAGTGAAGGTACGTTTTAACTCATTCCAAATGCAATGGATTTACTGCTGTAAATGTGATTTTCTGGGAATGCAATTTGAGCATTTATGTGCTATTTTGTGTTTAAACGTATGTTGTTATAATAATTCCATGGTCCAGGTGGTTCTGTTGGTGTCATATTGACTTCTCGGGATGACTGGACTCCCTCGGTAGATACACATGCCAAGATTGATGAGGATGCACCGAGAATTGCTGTTAGAACCAAGGGACATCGGGATGATAAGACTCTTGATTCGTTTCAGCCATCTCAGGCAGATTGGATCAAACGATATGTCGAGCAACAAGAAGAGGTACATAGATAGAGCCACTAACAGATTCACCTCATTTTCCTTTTACTTTTGAGAAGTAACAAACTTTACTAGTATCAACAAAAATTACCACTAGAGAAGTCCACGTAGAAAAAATAAAAAGCAAAAAACAAACAACTGGCATCTCTTTTGTACAGTACATACCAAGGAGGAGAAATATACCAATAAAGGTTTCTTCTTGTTATCATTTTGTGGTTGGCAAAGGGGAAAGTGTGAGGTTTGGGAGGAGAGTTGGGCTGGGGATTCAGCTGTAGTTTACTTGTCGCTATAGATTGCCTCAATTCCATAATCTCTGTATTGAAATAATGTGTTTGTGTCCTTCTTTTTATGCTTTGACTTGGACTTTGTGCCCTGAAGAAACCTAAAGATCAGGTGGGGCGAGTAACCTTACCTACTGTCTTCCTACAAAATTTTTTGTGTGGTACCTGCTTATGATAGGAGAATATGGAGGTTGGATTCCTTATTGCATTGTCTTGTAGATCGATTTCAAGGGAGATAATGTACAAATCTCCTTCTCCATTTATTCTTATTCCCTTAACTGTAATTTGAAGGCTAAAGTACCGCACTTAAGGTTCGGTTGTTGCCTCTGATACTTGCTCACCAGAGGTTGGGTACTTATGATATGGTTCAGAGGAGAAGACCTTCTTGTCTAGTTAGGCTGAAAGTTTGGAGCACTCGCTTTTCACTGTGTTGTATTTGCAGTAAAGGTTGGTTAAGTTGCGTGATTTCGGTGCCATACGCTGCTTTGTTGTGTGAGAGGCATCTGTTTTTTCTTTTGGAGGGAAGAAAAGGGGAGTGATTCTGGGGAGGCACGTTGTGATGCCTTTTTTTTTGGGGTAGTTTTGGTGTGATGATATTAGAACTTATTAAGTGAATAATTGTGGGAGATAGTATGATTTTGGGGATCATTATGTGCTTCAGTGTCTCCAGAGTTCAGGAATTATTCTTTTTCTGTGATCTTGACATCTTGTCTGATTAGAAAGCAGTAGTATCTTAGAGTCTAATACCCGTCATCTATGATGTTTTGGTTTACTTTATTTGGATCTTAATGTTTCTTAGAGATGGCTAGTTAGATCTTACTCATCTTATAGACCAGCTTATGCCTTATCTTTTGTGGAATCCTTGATTTTGTGACCTTATATAAATTTTGTGGAAAAATTTAGATGTTGACCGATGCTTAATATATTTATCAGTTTTTATTCCTGTAGTAATTATCTTGATATTTATGTAAAAGAGAATCTAATAAGTAATGATTTTTAGGATGAGTCCACAACTTGGGAGGATGATGCCGATGAGGCTTTGGCTGAGAAGGTATTTTCATTTTACTTCTGCTGTACTGGTGGAGTAATTGCTAGCATGTCTTTTCATCATCTTACTAACAGTTCTCGACAACATTCAACTATCTTAATAGGCTCTTAAACCAAGGTCTTACGATCTTATTGCCAAAGATTATCATGCTGCACGATTGGAAGCTGCAAAAGCCAAGCAAAACCGGGACAAGAAAAGCCAGGAACGGGCAGGCAGCATCATCCGCAATCTCAAGCAAGAGTTATCTGCTCTAGGTTAAACTTTTACTTTTCTTCTGATTAAAGTTAAGCTTACTGGTGGATTATACCTTCTCTTATGTATTTCTATAATATATGCATCAGGGTTATCAGACGACATATTGGCATCAGAATTTGCAAAGGAACAAGGTTCTGCTCCTTCTGAGGACACATATGATAGTCCTTGCAATCAGTGTGAAGGAGTCTATGCTGATGATTTAATAGTTGACGAAAGTAATACAGAGCACAGCGGCTCTATTCATTCTCCAGTCAATTCTACTCCAAGTGTACCTGTCCAAGGAAAGATTGTTGCAGAAGAAGAGTCAACAGATGTGGAGATTGGTAATTTCTTCTTAGAAGATGGGCCATCTGCAGATGTTCCACCTCCTGAAATTTTGGAACTACAGAAGAAAGAAAGGATGAGAGAAATGTCTAGTGAGAAAAATCTGGAGAAATTAGATGGTATTTGGAAGAAGGTAGTGTATGTAATGATCTTGTTGGACCTAGGACCAAATGTGCAGGATTTTTTAAATATGCAATATCTGATGCCTTCCTTTTCTCATATTTCTTGTTTTTACTCCACATTTTAAATGGAAAATGAATCTCAGTAGAGTACAATAAAATGGTGAAAGTGTGGTTATCTTTTTGTTATGTAATTCTTAACCGTGCGATATTGAATTATTAGTTCTTATGTATTTAATTTTGTGATCACATATTTAGTGTTTTCTGCAGTACTTTATATGTGGCTTTTATCATTTATGCTTATTGTTTTTTGATAGGAGTCATGTGTGCCCATTAATATATGCTTTAATTGATACCCCATGTTATGCCATTCATGATATGGTCTGATAATGACAGGGGGACTCTCGAAAGATTCCCAAGGCTATTCTTCATCAGTTATGTCAAAGATCCGGATGGGAAGCTCCAAAGTTTAATAAAATGAATGGAAAGCAAAATAATCTCTCTTATACTGTCAGCGTTTTGCGTAAAGCCAGTGGGAGAGGTAAAAGCAGAAAGGCTGGGGGCTTGGTCACCCTTCAGCTTCCTGATCAGCATGTAACTTTTGATTCAACTGAGGTGATCACTTACACCTATAAATGTCTGGAACTTTGGGGTGTTGGAGAAAAGATGCCTAGCACATGTTTTAATTATTGTTTTCTTGAATAGGTTTTGGTGGTAGATGTTGAGGCAAATACCTATGCATATGTGTATATAAATGTATGTGTGCATGAATCACAGAAACAGAAAGAAGAAGTCCACTGCACTAAAGAACTCCTTACAAAACTGGAAAACAAAAACACAGCACAATGCACCCAGAAAAATAGAAACTAGCACTCGGAAGCAGCAGCTCTCCTATCAGAAAATATGACAACGAAAAAACTGCTCCTAAAATCTGAAGATACGAAAGCCCATAATGAAGCCCAAAATTGAACCTGTCTTTCACAAGTATTATTTCTTTTTCATTCCTAGGACCATCAAACACCATTCTATTCGGTTCCCATGCAAATTACCTGAAAACAGCAACTATAGCACATATCCTCAGGGCCACACCCTTCTATTGTACCTCCAAAAGACTTGTACTTCTGAGTTTTGACATAATAAATCATGAATTTTGACCTTTGTTATGAATATAATTGTATGAACGATGTTGTAAGACATGTGTTGGATGTTTCGTTATATTGTTGTCTATTACTCATGTTTATTACTCCGTATTATGCTTTGACCTTTGAGGGTATTTTGGTGATGGTCCTGCAAATAATTTTATATAAGTATAATACTGTAAAAATATATACTGTTTTCGTATTGGGAAAATTTTGCTGAAAATTTACTTACTTAATCACATGATTTTTTTATCACAGGATGCACAAAATGGAGTGGCAGCATTTGCTCTTTGTCAACTGTTTCCTGATCTCCCAGTTCACCTATTAATTATTGAGCCTTATGCTTCTCTAGTCATTCAATGGATGGAAGGTGTGGATCTTTATTCTTGTTCTATAAATCATAACTCTCTTTTCTAAAGAGAGGATGAAGATCTCTAATAAAAATTTATTGAATGAGTTGATGTAGTGAACCTTTGGTTGATTGGTTCCAATACTAATATTGTTTCTACATAGTTTCAATTGATGTGTACTGTCCAAGTGTAAAATCTGATGATTCTGTTGTAAACTTTTTTTGTTACGTCTAAAAATCAGGGGAATCATCAACGAATGTGGAAGATAGTGAGGAAGATCGAAGAGCTACTTTTGTGGACTCACTTTTGAGAGTTGATGGTTCTGCTTCAACTTCTGCTGCTAATGTTACGAATGATATTGTTCCAGAAAAGGCTCAAGAACTCCATGTTGAACAACCTATAAGCGCAGGTGTTGCTCATGTTGATTTAGCAGCTCAAAGTACGTACTTGCACTCCTCTCTTGGTTGCATTGTTGAACAAACGTTGCTTTTATTCCGTTGCTTGTAGTGGAGTCACTTCTTATCAGTTCCATACTTCCATACTTCCATTCCATATAACGTATATAAGAAAGAAGAAGTGCATGTTCATCAATGAAAATAAGTTTACTTCTTGTCCTTTAAACTTTCTGCTGTATCTTACTTTTTCTGTTATCCATCAATGAAAAAAATGTATCCACATGTTAGGCCCAGTTTGACCATACACTTTCATGGCACTCAAAATTATTGATCTACATATTGGGTTCCGTCTCGCACATGTGAACCGGTGCGTTGAGAATATTGGAATCCCACATTGGGTATTTGAAGCCCGGAATCATATATATAAAATTCCAAACCTTTCTACTCCTCCTGACCACAAGAACCCTAAACCCTGATGTCCAGGATTGAACTCTGTCTCGAAGAATGGAACATAATTGTTTTTGGGCCAAAATATAATTCTGTAGCTGAGATCTTAAGCTAACTTGACTACTCATGTGGGTTAATGAATCAGAAATTTGATGGCGTGTGGTGTTATAGTTTGTCAATGAATATAAGTGTAATCCTATCTAATGGTTGATTTTTTGCAGGAGTACATCGTCTCAAGGAAGTGGAGAGCACTTATTTGAGACAAGAACTGGAGAATAAAGTGAAAAATCCAAAATTCAAGGTTTTTGTTGCAATTTGTTTGTTTCAAAAGAGACTGACCTGCCTTTATTTATTGATTCTTGTTGCTCACAGCTGGGTGTACTGACGTCAGTACATTAGTCATTAGAATAAATAGAATGCTGCTATATCATTTGATGAACAAACTTGGTGACCCTATTTCTTTCTTTTTTCTTGTCCGCCCTTGTATTCATGGACTACTTGTCCATGCTTTTTGTACTGAGGGCGTTCTGGGATGGTTGGATTTGTATGTTTCTTCTGTTTGTTTTAGTTGCTTCATGGACTACTTGTCCATGCTTTTTGTACTCTTCGTGTTTTCTCCAAATAAATCTTGTGTTTCGTACAAAAAGAAGTACTTAACTACATGTTTACTTGTTCTAGGACATGTTGAAAACTAGAGCTGCACTTCCCATTGCTGGTTTGAAGGGTGATATACTGCAACTGCTGAGTGAGAATAATGTTCTAGTTGTTTGTGGTGAAACAGGTTCTGGAAAAACAACCCAGGTGGAAATCTACCTTTCATTGGTTTTGCATTATTATGATTTTGGTATTGTAATACTTTTTGAAGTTCTAAGGCTGATTAGAAATTGTTTTCTCTCCTATTTTCCATACTTTTAGGTTCCGCAATTCATATTGGATGACATGATCAAATCGGGACATGGTGGATATTGTAACATTATATGCACACAACCAAGGAGAATAGCGGTGGGTGCAATCTTCTCTGCTTGAATGTACGACACTGCATTAGGTCCCTTCTGTTTAAAGTTTAAACCAAAATTCATGTGACATGACTGGATGACCATCACATGCATTGCACCAGAAAAAAAAATTATACTTTCATTGTTGATCTACACATTCTCATTAGGACCAGGTTCCTGGTTTCTCGTGTGGTTTTTTTTGTCTTTCTCCTTCACATCAGGTAGCACTGTTTTAGGGTATTTCCTGAAAGGGTGAAGTATTCTAGTAGTTTGTTCAAGATATTGATTTGCATTTGTAAATCAGCGTATATACCTTTACAATCAAATGATCATAACCATTGAAATTTCAGTTAATAGTCCTTATCTGCATTCCTAAGTTTCTATTGAAGCTTCCATTTTATGAACCCACAGATATCAATTAGTTGAAAGGGTTTTGCTGAGATGTTGATGGCCTTTTGTATCAGTGTGAACTGTTGATATACTTTCGAAAGCTTTTTGTGTTCGATATTATTCCTTAGTGTAACAGGCTAAGTGAATTGGCTCTCAAAAGAGAAACACCCTTCATAGTTGAATTAGGTTGTATGAATTCTAGCTAGGGAAATAGTGTCATTTTCAAAAAATGGTCGTGGTTGTGTGTTATGAACATATGTGAGAAGATTTTAATTTATTCACTAGAATCCTTATATGCCCAAAATTATTAATTGACTTTTCCTTGCTTAAACTGAAAATTGACAATGTTTCATTAAATTAACAAAAACAAGTTACCTTTGTTTGGAGGAAATAAATTTGATAGAGCTTGAAAATTAATGTTAGTAAAAATATGAATTTCCTTTATATATTAGTCTGTATTTGCGGTGGACTCTGCTCTGGCAAATTTTAGAAGGTATAATGGTTCTAACTACTTGCTCATGTGAGTATTTTTTTTTTTTTTTTTTTTTTTTTTGTATTGTAGGCTATCTCTGTGGCTGAAAGAGTTTCTGATGAGCGCTGTGAACCTTCACCTGGTTCAAAAGGTTCTTTGGTTGGTTATCAAGTTCGTCTCGATAGTGCAAGGTGTTTCTTTTTTTTATTTGTTTGTTCTACTCATTTACATGAAACTACACCATATCAACGTAAAAGTTTGTGTCTTTTATGTTTTATCTGCACTAGTATGGACATCTATTAATCTGTCTGATCTTTTGGTGAGTTGTTATGCTTGTATGCCAAAGTTTTCATTACTTTAATTTTCTTATTATTATTTGCATCTTGGTGGTCTTTTGTTTTGTCACCAAAATTTGCATTCTGGTTTTCTCTTATGTCAGCAATGACAAGACTAAGCTTCTCTTTTGTACGACGGGCATTCTTCTGAGAAAATTTGTGGTAAGACTTTAATTTAGTCTTCTTATTTAGAAACTAGAGGACTGTAGATTTCATTGCCAAATATATTCATGTTGTTTGAACATTATTGGAGATAAATCACTTTTTTTTTTGTTGAGTTCAAAGTACGATAAATCACTTGTTAGGTTTCACAACTGAAACCCTTTCAATTGATATTCAAGGGGCTTAGGCTTGGTTCACATAAAAAGGTCGTACCCAGTGCACAAGGCTCCCGCTTTACGCAAGGTCTGGGAGAGGTGAATGTCGGCTAGCCTTACCCCCATTTATGGAGAGGCTGCTCCCAAGTCTCGAAGCCGAGACCTACCGCTCATGGGCGAAGGCACTTGCCATCGCACCAAGTGCGACCTCTTCTTAGGCTTGGTTCACATATTCGTAAAAAAAGGATTTTTGTTCTGGCCCTAAAATTTGTAAAAAGTGGAGTGGACAGCCATCTAAGAGATCTTTTATTTATGTATGTTTGAAGTTTGCTTTGAACTCCGTAGTCACTCGTGAGTACTAAATCATTGTTCACCAAATGTGGGTTCAAAATCCAATGACTGATATTTAAAATCCTGGTAATGTAATTTTATTTCTTGAATAAACTGTTGAATTTTAACGATGATCATTGAGCATGAATATTCGTGCCCATTGGTGAGTGCAAGATCATGACATGTATGTATCTTCAGCAATACACTTATTGTGTGGCATGAGTGATGAAAATTCTTTCGCTCAATGCTTTATCTGTTGAAAATCTCATTGAAGATACTAAACAAATCTTATACTTACAGCTTTTCATTTGCAGGGGGATAAAAACTTGACAGGAGTTACTCATGTCATAGTTGATGAAGTACATGAGCGGTCTCTTTTGGTGAGTAGTAGCTTTAGTAGTTTATAGGTTCCCATGGTGGTTTTGAGAAATATTTGTTGGTATTATTCATGCTCATGGCCAGCACAAACCTTCCATGTCCTCCAAAAAAAAAAAAAAAGACACGGCATCCTATAACTATTTTGTGATCCCATTATTCTTATATATAAGAAACAAAAATTTCATTAAAAAAAAAAAACAGTGACTTGTATCTTGTATCCTCTGCTATACTATATTTTTTCTTTTGAATGAAAATCATAATTTTTTGTTTTTTGAACAATAGGTGAAAGAGGTTGACTCCTTTGGTTTACATCTTTACTTTTTCTTTTTTGAAATGTTATGGATGAACAATACCAAGTGAAGCTTAACACAGCTGGTTTTTGCCTTTCATTTTTCATGGGAGGAAAGGGGAGGTGGGGGCAAGTACAGATGGTCGTGTGTTATAGAAACAGCACATAACTTTTAGTGGTTCACAGATTGTTTTCCCTTTCTGAGTGTTGTTAGAAATTCATCTCCCTGTCAAGCGGTGAAAATTGAGAAATAAAGAATGTTATAGAAGAGAAATACCACATAACTTGTTAATTTCATTTTTACTTTTACTGGGTTCACAAATCATTTTACTTTTACGTTTTCCTGAGTGTTGTCAGAATGCGTCTCCTTGTCAAGGGATGAAATTAAGAAAAAAAGTGTAACCTGGTAAAAAAAGGAATTCTAACAGATTGATATTTTTTTCGCTTCCTATAAACAGGGTGATTTCCTGCTCATAGTGTTGAAGAATCTGATTGAGAAGCAATCAGCTCTTAACACACCAAAACTGAAGGTTATTCTGATGTATGTCTGTACTACATTTCCTCAAATTTATATTACATAAATGTGTGTGTTTAGAAAATTGTGTTGATAGTTGACCTCCCATTTATACAGGTCTGCAACTGTTGATTCAAATTTGTTTTCGAGATACTTTGGTAATTGCCCAGTGATTACTGCAGAAGGCAGAACACATCCTGTCACAACATACTATCTTGAGGATATATACGAAAGCATAGATTATCAGATTGCTTCAGACTCTCCAGCTTCCATGAGATATGGAGCTTTGACCAAAGAAAAGGTGACCCAAATTGTACACCTCTCTTTCATTCTTTTTCATCTTTTAGTCCTGAGAAGTTTCTCTGTTTTTCCAAAAGTATCTTTTCTCTTTAACTTTCCTTTTCTATGGATTCATGTGCAGTAAATTCTTTGAATATCTGAATTATCACATATTACATGTCTACTTTGGGAAATAGGATCACCTATGTTTTTGGTTCTAATATTGGGCTAATGTTCGAAACAACATCGTTTGGGGGTTTAAGGGTCAAGCATTTTGGAGTGAGCGTTTAATACTTGATTGAGTCAAACAAGTTCTAAACCCTCGTCGTACCCAGTGCACAAGGCTCCCGCTTTACGCAAGGTCTGGGAGAGGTGAATGTCGGCTAGCCTTACCCTCATTCCAAAAAATATATAGAGTTGTAAAACTACGTAGTTCTATAAATGAGCACAAGGTCAACACCAAAATGATCATTACAAGATTTGAATGCCTGTATAGAAACCATGTTATATGTTTGCAACGTTTTATTGGACCTGGTTATTCAGTGTTCACTCATAATTTTTTGATGAGGAGTACTTATTAGTCTTCCCAATATTCATAGTATTACTATACACACTAGATTGGAATTTGGGTTGAATAATTGCAGCCATATTATTCCACAATTTTTCTTTTAATTTCTTTGAGATTCTTCTACTATGGTTAAGTCACGGTCATGCAGTAACATTTTGATGTTCATTACCTAATTTTCAAATTCCTGCATTCTGAAAACACCAGGCTGGTCCTGTAAACAACCGCAGGGGAAAGAAGAATCTTGTTTTATCTGGTTGGGGTGATGATTCTCTGCTCTCTGAAGAAACTATAAATCCGTATTATGTACCAGATAGTTATCAATCGTACAAAGAGAAAACTCGACAAAACTTGGTAATTGCCTTTGAGATTTTGTTTCTGGAGATATGGTTCATTTTCTTTCCCTCTTCGTAAGGGGACCATATAACATGGTAATCAAAATTTGTACAGCAAAGAGTGAATGAAGATGTCATTGATTATGATCTTCTTGAAGACTTGGTGTGCCATGTTGATGAAACTTGCAGTGAGGGAGCCATACTTGTCTTCTTGCCTGTAAGCCATCCACCTCTTCACACTTATGTGCGCTTATAGGTCATACATGTAATTGTGTTTGCCTCGCCACTAATAACATATTACTATTCTTGTACTTAAATGTTCCTTAACAGGGAGTATCTGAAATTTACACTTTAGTTGATAAGCTATCTGCTTCGTATCGATTTGGTGGACCAGCTTCTGATTGGATTCTTCCACTACATTCTTCCGTTGCATCAACTGATCAAAAGAAGGTGTTTTTACGGGCTCCTGAGAACATACGGAAGGCATGTTTTCCACTTAATTTCTTCTCTCTTTTTGCTCTTTATTTATTGTTTTACCCTTTTATTATGGTACTTGTTATAGAATTTGAGTGGTTCTTCATTAGATTGTTTGTTATACCTTTGGAGTGGTTGTTCATTAGATTGTTCTAATCAGCACTTCTTATCTTTACATAAATGGAAATTTTTAACGTATGTAGTTGTTACAGCAATTTGCTTACAGTTGTTTCATAAAACATCATTTAAGTTCAGGGTAAAAGCTGAAAGTTCATTTAAACTTAGGAAATGATAGCTGGATATTTCATTAGAAAATAAATGAATTGAGGTGATTACCAAAGTCCAACCGAAGTAGAAAATAAAATTTAAGGTGAACCTCCAGTCTTGTAACTAAGAGTTTAAACTTCGGAAGAAGGAAACTTGAAAAGGTTTAGCATTATCTTTTCGTGTGTATATCATGTATGGCTTTTTTTCATGTTTCATGCATCAGTTTTTAATGTTTCGTAAGTATAACCCAAATAATTCCATCAGCGGAGAGAACGGAGTTGGAAAAATGATTTTTGCCGAATTTTGTCTTCATCCAGTCTGGCTGGTTATTCATATTGACGAAGCAGATCTAGATGGACAGCTTCGCTCAGATTAACTACCAATTTTTTCATATCGGAAAATGGAACTGTTTTGCGAGAAAAAAAAGAGTTACAGAAATATAAAAGTGTATTCAAAAGCAGTCAACCAAGGCAAAGTGTACTAACATATATACAAGCTAAACAACAACCAGTACTTTACTCTTGCTCAATGAAAATGAATAACAAAAACAATTCATGAAATGCTTACATTGATTAAAACATCGATGCGTAAATAAATTTTAGTGCATAATGCTTTTGTTTTTGTTTGGCTTGCTATAAATTTCGTTGATGTTTTGTTTCAATATCTTAATAGGTCATTGTAGCTACAAACATTGCAGAGACCAGCATAACAATAGATGATGTGGTATATGTTATAGACTGTGGAAAGCATAAGGAGAATCGTTATAATCCACAAAAGGTTTGTTGTTTTAACGTTTTTAATGAATGACCACGTGATTCTTTTGATT